CTATCTCCGCTGATGACGTATATGAATCTGTACTTTTGAATCTTGTGTTATGTCTTGCCACGAACCCTGTACATTTAGCCAAGATAGACACAACAGGGTTGAGCTCACAATGTCTGACTGCCGTACGTAAGACAACCTAACCGTGTTGTGCCGCCAGCACATATGTCTTGTACTTTACTGGTTTCTTATTCAGCCGAATTCTCTCCACTAGATGAACTTTCGTTTCATATGGTCTGAAGTCGACCAATGTCATATATTCCTGTATGGTCGACTTCAGACTACTCATGGTTTGGGCGTCGGTATGTGATTCCCGGACGTTATATTAACTGGCGTTATCCATGAGAGTCACACTGGCGTTGTTTAAAGTGGGCAATAGCTGAAGTTCCAACCAGTCTATGAACACATCACCTCCAATAATTTCCTTATGAAAATCACCAGTTTTCTTTTTCGCCTCCAAAACATCCATCAATAAGCCCCATATCATGGGTTGCAGCCTGCAAAACAATGACACGATTACCTTTACCTGATGGTACCATGGATGCTTTTTGTCCATCTGCCAATAGCCACATGTAGTCAGTGGAATGATTCACCAAGGTAAATTATCGCCCTGACCCTGACTGTGATAGTTGATTCGGAGATAATGTGACCTCATAGACAGGATCGGGATAGTTTCCTCTGAAAAGTGCTTTGTCATCGCCACGCGCAGTGTATCGAAATCCCATCTCTTGGAGAGCAAAAGTGCAGTCCGGGAAAAATTAATTGTATCTTTAATTCCTCCCAAATTCTACTACAAGTCAGGGTTACCTTCTGCTCATAAAGCTTGTACACTATACGCCTAATCACCCTGTATCAAAGCTGTCTAATATCCTTTTACGCCCCAGTTTTGTTTTTGAGACCACCCCTATACCTGTTTTGTTTTCTTATCATACCGTAGACTTGATGGTATGAATTGAAAACACCATAGCTTGGGCTGTTCGGTAATTCACCCTATCTAAATTAATAAATGGTTTCCCTATATCTCTCTAAAGTATAAATATTTTGTATGCATTTCCAAGGACAGATTCCATATCGTGTACCTTGGTTATGGCTATGCAAGTGTAATGTAACATGCATCATGGGAGCAATATTAACACAAGAAAACGCAGCGTCATTTTGTCATTTTAGAAGATGCACATCTAGAATTTTCGCAAAATGATTTCTGTGTGTGGAGTAGATGTTTTATGAAGACTACATTATTGTCATTGTGACGGAGTCACGTGCGCATATTTCTATAGTCCGTTTCAGACTGCCATCATTGGACTTTGAATAAATGTGAACTTCCTGTTTTCGTTCGAATTTGTCTCCTGTAAACTTGTCGATAGGACTCCTTGTGACTGAAATTCTTCAAACCACAGGTAGGGCGATCGGTAGTTATTCGATATTTCAATAACAACAGTCTGTGAAAAATTATATCCCTTTTTAACAGGCAAAAAGCAGTTTTCTAGCATTTCCGACAGTACTTTAGTCACCAATGAAGATGCTTACAATGATGATGATAATGATGATGCTTACTTGAATATTCTTCAAAGCGCCGTTAAAACTCACCCACTCGCTCATTTACTTTAGATTTTTATTATCATTTGGTTAAAAATGTATTATATGTTTAAAAATGAGTTTCTATTCTTGTATCACTGTTTTATTAACGTTCGTGAAGTCAGTCAACATGCATATAAAACCAAAGAATTTTATTCTTTTAAATAGTTTTTGCACCACACGACATGACAGCAATGAAGAGGGGAGCACAATACCGATGAACCACGTTTATATCACCGATGACAACCCTAAAATGACTATAGCTACAACCACTACTTCTCGTAATGTGAAACCGTGTGATTGCAATGTGAATCTACGTGGATAGTAACGTGAACTCTATGCTAAACACAATAAATAAATACAAATAATGCATATCGTGTGTAAAAGAATAATAATAAGAAGAACATGCAGTGACTATAGTTACATGTTCTAAGTGTAGACAGGTATACCCTGTCGCCGTGTTTGCGAAGCAATTTTGAATAATTCTTCAGTCCAGCACAGGTTGTGTTCTTTACTAAAGGTTCTTCTCAAATAACTTATACGTACAATATCACCTACCTTATGCTCAATTTAATGGAATGACTTGTTGCTTTTTACATGTATCATCATGGGTCTAATGTAAAGTGCTTGAACACTTTGAGTTCATTTGTCTTGGTCACATCAGCAGGGGCCCAATGTCCGAGGCTTCTATGTTGACTATGATTATAGTTATACACTAAATCTGGTAACATATCAATATATATTTTTCAGAGTTGTTGTGTGTCAGATATCTAGACATGAGCGCTCTCACCGTCCTCATTACTCTTTCGGCATAATTAGCCTTTCAATCTTCTTTTTCCGCTTTATGTTCTGATTTGTCACATACTTTCTAAACTCTCCAGCAAATTCCTTGCCCTTGTTAACGCGAATTTTTCGGAATGCGCACCTTTTTGAAGATTGTTTTCAACCCCCGTCACAGGCTTTTTATTCAGTAATTGGACAACCCACAAATACCTCGAGGGGATATCAATAACCATTAGTAAATATCGTATTTCATCAATCGCATACGGACTCACATCTGCCAAGTCAATATCCCACATTTCATCTCGGCTGTTCACCGAACTCTCAAACTTGGAAACCTATATTTCACCGGCTTATGCAGCGAATAAGCATCTTTGTCATTCAAAAACTGTCTTATTTTCTTGACTTTATACTTGTTGCTCTGTTTCTGTAATACTTGTTGGAATTTTATCGGACCATAGAAGGCACCCGGATTACGAGGGATAAATAATAATTTTCTAAAGTCTTATCCGTAGAGGAATGTGTTGTGTCTGTAGCCATGATTCAACTGTGAGAGAGCGATATTCGTCTCTGCATAAATACCTGTTAAGATAAACTAATCATAATTAAGAACGATAACGCAATATTGACAAAACAATCAGAAAGTGATAAACAGAGTAATTTATTCATATAAACACTCGTTCTAAGGGGAAGTTTTGAAGTAAACGTTTCCATAGTCTTTGCACTGGTATATTTTCAGCCATGATAATGAACTTCCATCAATATTTTCCCCAATAAATTCTCCCCTCTCCATGTCGATTGAAATACAATGTTCGAGTCATGTAGAGATAGTCCAACATCCCATCGCCTATCATAAGGACTAGCCTCTACGAGAATTCTAGGATAAGAGTTGATCAGAATATCTTTTAAGTAAGCAGACTGACGATATTTTGCAAGAGATGCTTTTCGCACTACATCACAGCCAACACTGTCCCACTACCATTGGTTAAACTGTCTCACACGTTTACCTTGTCGTTTCTCCTCTGCAGGTGATGAACATTTTAAAATCTCCAAATGTCACTGGTTTGCTGTACATGTAATATTGTTCAGGACAGTTAAATTCTTGATCATCGATCTGAATGACAGTAGCGTAGTGTTGACTGAATTGAGAGATAAACCAATACGAACCTATCTGCTATCACTGTTGCCATGATGAGGCAGCTGAACATGGAATGACAAACGAATGTACGCATGCGTTAAAATGATTGGTCCTGTTTTATTTAGGCGAAGAGAGATAGGCTACGCTAAGCAGAGAAGGGCGAGAACGCGTCCACATTTCTTCACGAAAAGGTGACATTCCATTTGATGATGATCATTCTATTAAACATCTGAAGGAATCTCCCCGACTACATTCTAAATGGCTTCAATGGCATTCCTAAAATTCCTAGGCCTTTAACGAAGGCCACATTCTTCACATGTTTAACATTCATGCATAATGATTCCGTTCTCATTGTGACGTCATGCATGCTATTAGCATAACACTAGGCTCATGAATATTCATAAGGCACCCGTGGAAGGAGGGATAGGTCCATAATTATATTAAATATGTTACTACTGTTGCGCCAGTGAGGAGCTAGCCCTCCGCATGGCTTCGCTGACAGCACGTTGAGCCGTGTTAGACGGATGACAAACATATGTAATATCTGAAAGGGACTGTGTAAGATGTGACCATTTGGCAGAGGGACTTCGCTGGCCGCAAAAAACTCTGTAGGAGTGTTCTGCAACTTGGTTGACTTCATACGACCGAGTCATTTATATTACAGTCAAGGCTTGGATAAACAGTGGCTTCTAATGTATTTTGAATTAGTATTTTGTAACTCATTCGAAAGAAAAACACATGAGCTTTCTCTTCAGTTTGCCTCAACTAAACGTGATCGAAGCCAGTTATTCTGCGCAGCGCATGGTTTGTCGGTTTCGCTGCGCGGAGCTCTATTGATTTGGTTTGAGAATTGAATCGTGTGTAAACTAAAGGTGTGACGTCACACACGGAAATTGCGCGTGCCCTCAGCGCCATCTATACATGTTTGTTTATTTGTTGTTTAACGCCGCACTAAGCATAAAACCCCGGGTGGACCAGTCGTCTAAAGCGCCGCAATTCGCTGTGCAGAGTTGCGTCCCTTGGGCACGCCAGAAACCTATGATTGTGGGTTCGAAACCCTGTTCGCCCCGATAATGTTTCTTATTATTTTACCCGTGCTCGTGGGTTTCACCGAAGTGGTAAACCTCTGAGACCTGCATCACTTCGGGCTTTCCCCCCACATTAAGCTGTCACAATATGATATAACAGGAATACGACGTTATACCAAAATCACTCACTCACTCACTCAAACCCCATGTACCACGTGTGATCCTGCTACAACATAGAACGCCCATGTCTGACTGAGTTGGGTATGAATATCAGATAGCATTGGATGGGGTTAGTTTGTGTGGTTGTGCGCATGTGTTGCTGTGAAGTGTATATGACATTTTTCTATTTTGTTTCCCAACGATCAATGTAATGTTTTTAAACAAAAGGTGTCTTTTATACCCCGTGAGAATGGGTTGGTATTGTTGTGATATGTTCGCCCACACACAAAACACTGTACTAAACCACTGCTATTATTATTCAGAACCCGTTTGGATCAACAGCACTCGGTATTCAGTGTGTGAGCATCAATAGCGAGTGACGAAGGATTTTTAAGGTTGGTGATCTTAATGTTTTAGATTGTGCACAACTTGTTGCCAACTCAATACTCTGAAATTCCCTTTTCCTGTTTCGTATCTTTTTATCGTATCGTACCTGTGCTTCAAGCTGATTTTTTCCCAAATATATTTATTCCATCGAGCTATACACTAAGGCTGGAAGACCGAGTGTCGCACGTGACCAAAATAAGTGACACTGGCATTCCTTTCCGCACATGAGACCAGTGTTATACTTCCAGTTGGGACCTATGTGTGGAAAAACTAAGTGAAGCTGATAATAGCACGGTAATACCTCGTATTTGGGATAAAATAGCGCTTGGAATGCTATGTTTGTTGAACGGGTTACCCGATTTGCATTTGTTTGTTTGTTTGTTGTTTAACGCCGCGCTCAGCAATATTCTAGCTAAATGATGGCGGTTTGTGAATACTCGGGTCTGGACCAGATAATCCAGTGATTGACATCATGAGCATCGGTCCACGCAATTGGGATCGATGACATGCATCAACCAAGTCAGCGAGCCCGACCACCCGATTCTCTAACGGCAAGCATGGGTTCCTGAAGACCTATTCTACCCCGGATCTTCACGGGTGTGCTTGGAATGCGCAGTCGATGGATACTTCTAATATCTGTGATATCCGAAAACGAGTTAGCAGGCATTCAATTCAAATCGAGTTTAGTTGATAAATTCACACACCGTCCTGTCACCAGTGACGTCTGTTTCGGAATTGGCAATGTACATTGATATGAATTGTACGTGTTTTGCAAAACATGTCAAGCTAGCTTTCGCTTTTCACATACTAAATATCGGACTGTTATGGTAAACTGGCAGTGTTGATCAGCCGCTGTCTGTCTGACCAAGTGATACTCATGCAGCTTGAACAACGATGTACAGCCTCACTGTTCTAATGGATAGAGCGGAAGCCCAGACAGGTCGCTGGTTCGATCCCCGGCCACGTCATACCAAAAGACGCAAAAAGATGGCACTTGTTGTTACAGTGCCTGGCGCTAAGGGTCTAAACAAGGAATTGACGGCTCGGAGTTAGTATGCTGTGTCCGAGTGGGAGAAACTACTACTACGCCCACACGCACGCCCGCGCGCACGCACAATCAGCCACACACACACGCATATATATATACGTCGCTACATAAGTGCAATTATCTTGAACGCGACGTTGAACCTCAACTCACCTCGCCATGAACATTGATGACTGCGACTTCAAAATTTAAAGACTCTCCATCTTTGTTTCAGATGAGCAATCCTACGAATTCCTTTGAGGTTTTGGTAGACCAGCTGGGAGACCCGGGGCGGTTCCAGGTGCTGATGTTGTTGTTGATGTACGTGCAGGAAATCCCAGTTGTCTGGGCGACGCTGATGATGTCATTTTCGGGCAAGGTGCCAGATTGGTGGTGCCGAGATAATGGAACCAATATTACATCTGTGGGATGCTCCGATTGTCTCAACGACACCTACAAATATTGCCCTGCCAACCAATCAACTTGTAGCAATATTTATTTTGACCCTATGATGACAACTGTAGTCAGTAAGGCAGGTTAAGTATATATTGCGAAGAAAAACAGTATGATTTCATATTTGTTCAGTGAGTGTTGAAACAGAAATGAGAATGTGGATCGCAATCTGAAGTTGAAAACTTTGTTAAATGGAATTCGAAGCCTGGTCATTCTGGGCTGTTTTACGTGTGTGTGTGTGTGTGTGTGTGTGTGTGTGTGATGTAGATCAGGGTGCGTCAAATTTGGTACCTTTGGTCGTTGTAGAGCGTTTTGTGTTTGAAGGTAACCTCACTGTGCTTCAACCATATGCTGGAAGGGATTTGTACATGTAATATTGATTTCGTCAGCTAGTTATCCTAAGACAAATTAATACCCTATTCCAGAGAAATAGTCTTTTAATTTGTTTTGCAATCTGTTCAATAGTGCTAAAACCTCACTTCCTGTAATACGGTTCTAAGCATGTGAGGGGGCACGGGTAGCTCAGTCGTCTAAGGCGCCGCGATTCGCTGTGCAGAGTTGCGTCCCTTGGGCACGCCAGAAACCTATGATTGTGGGTTCGAATCCCGGTTCGCCCCAATTAAGTTTCTAGGTTTGTCGGCACCATACCATACCATACCATCGTGGGTTTCACCGAAGTGGTAAACGTCTGAGACCTGTGTCACGTCGGGCTTTCCTCCCACATTAAGCTGACACGCCGCGATATTACTGGAATATTGTTAAAAGCGACGTTAAACCAAGTTCACTCACTCACTCTATGCATGTGAGCTACATGGTCATTAACTGTCATATCATAATCTGTTCTGCAATCTGTTTCAATAGTGGAGCCTCGTGTGCGACAGCAAGACCGTCACCGCCACAATGACGTCAATCCAGATGGCCGGGAACTTGGTGGGCGCCATTGTTTCTGGTCAGATCTCAGATGTATATGGACGCAAAGTTGCCCTGTACCTAAGTCTTCTCATACTCACCATCTCCTGCATCATCGCAGGGTTTGCGACTTCGTGGCAAATGTTTTCTGTCTGCTCCTTCTTCATTGGCATCGCCTGTGGAGGATATCTCGTCACCTACTTCCCGCTTGCCGCCGAGTTCGTCCGAGCAAGATGGCGGACCGCCGTCGCCTGCTTCCCCTTCTGGTCGCTGGGATTCGCTCTGTTTGGTCTTCTGGCATGGCCTGTGCATGATTTCAGATACTTATGTTTCATCATAGCGGCCCTGGAGGCACCATTCTTGTTCACATACAGGTAAGAGGTATTCGAACTACAGGTCGTAATATCTGGTGAGGTTTCAGGGAAAGAATAGGTCTCCGGCAAGCTATGTTGTTCGACTAAATGGATCAGGTTGTCAGGCTCGCACTGAGGAAAAAGTCTAGTGAAATCAACTAAATAATTAGTACCATCAGTACCATCCTCCCTTGGGCCCTTTCCACAAAGCGATCGTAGCGCTAAGATGATCGTAACTGCCATAATTTAACATAGACTTACGTCAGTCGTAGCGCTAAGATGGCTTTGTGGAACGGGCCCCTGGTAGACTGCACGCGGCAGCGGTTGAGAGAAGGGGTATCATCCGCGTCAAGACCACGTGACGTGACACTTCCGCCTTGGTCAGTGATTCGCTCGCCATTTTGAGGAACCTAGGAGATAATTATGAGTGTTTGCTGAAAATTGGCTTTATAACGTTGTTAATGTTATTTTTTCATGACTGACAAAATTATTTACTTTGTTGCATGTACTCATCGAAGAAGGGTTAGTTACGTTTTCCAGTGTTATAAAAAAGACTTGTACATTATAGGTACATGTTTATTATTTATGGTAGTATTTTGTAACTGAACTTAAACCATGGTTCTTTAAACGGGCATTAACTGACTGAATTGTCAGTTCAACACCACTTGGCAATGACTGAACTTCTTTTCTCCTTTATCAAACAACTTGATGAAGGAACAATTTCCACGAGAAACATGTTTCGCCAGCGGGATTCCAACATGTGAGGTCTTCTGCCACTTCGACATGGAAGAAATTTTATGAAATGAACAGCTAAATATTTTTTTATTAATACTTTTATATAACATAGTTTATCCGTTTATGAACGCTGAAATATGTGGTTCAATGCATTCTACCTACGTGTGGTTTTGTAGCTTTTCGTTCAAAGAAACGAATAGATAGAAAAGAAATTTCTCTTTTCTTGATCAGGGATATGTTTGCTCATAACACGCTCATCAGCGCGGGCAGGTAATATTAAGTGATTGATAAATGTGCTCAAACTGGTCCAGTATTATTGTATACTTGCCTCGGGATGTTTATTTCATTACCAGAGTCATCAAAGAGCGAGGTGCACGTGCGAAAGGCTCGGGTAACGCATTTCACGTGCATCACGCAGGGCCAACTCCACAGTGTCTCACGGGCATAACGTTCTTGAATATCGGTTATCAAAACATTGTTGTGTATACAATTTAGGTGCTTGGGTTCTTTGAATGAATGTAAACCATGGTTTAAATAGGCTAGACCTTTTCGTCGCGCCGAGCCTCGGGGTTTAACTGACCACTTCAACGATTAATCATCAGAACCACGCTGTCTTATCTTTAAAAGCCTCTTAAATCATTATATGTTGTCCTTCACCTGTATTGTTTTCTAGTATATCATTTGTCATCTCCTAACATGTTAGTGTCAGAGTGGACAGTGAGAGTTTAACGAAAGTGTCAGAATGGTTCTATATTGCAGACGAACGGAAAACCAATCAACATTCTTACTATATAAAGGCGACTATGCTTGTCGTAAGAAGCGACTAACGAGATCGGGTGGTCAGCCTCGCTGACTTGGTTGATGTATGTCATCGATCCCAAATGCGTGGATCGATGCTAATGATATCGATCACTGGATTGTCTGGTCCAGACTCGATTATTTACAGACCGTCGTAATATAGCTGGAATATTGCTGAGTGCGGCGTTAAACAACAAACAAACAAAATACCACAGTGGGGAGCTTTGACTGGTGGCAGCGACAGTATAGAGAGCTCCGCGAACGGGATATCGCTGTGAGGAGCTTTGGTATACGGGCTCAAATGGGGTTTGTACTTCTGCTCTCTAATTGGTCAATCTGACTTTAAGGCATGACAACATCTCCACAATACAATCGTTTGTTCTTGGCATAGTGATTGTATGAAGAAAGGGTAGCTATGTTCCAAGATGCGTAACATCCGACATGTTGTCCGCGAACACATAGCTATGACGACCTCCTAAGGTGACCGTCTTAAAGAGTTTCTCATCATTTATTATTATGACAGAGTCTCTCATGTTACCAGCTTCATACGAATAACGTGTAAACAAAGGATTAGGTATGACCATGGCCTCTGTTGGCCTCCCTGAAGTGACAAAATGTATAGTAAAGGGTTTGAAATGTTGAACAGAAGTGCACATGGTTGACACCTTTGTGTCATTGTTTACCCGGGGGCGCGTGTGGCCCAGTCGCTGTGCAGAGTTGTGTCCCTTGGACACGCCAGAAACCTATGATTGTGGGTTCGAATCCCGGTTCGCTCCGATTATGTTTCTAGGTTTGTCAGCACAATAACCGTGGTCGTGGTTTTCACGGAACTGGTAAACGTCTGTGCCCTGCATCACTTCGGGCTTTCCTCCCACATTAAGCTGACAAACCGTGATATAACTGGAATACTGTTAAAAGCGGTGTTAAACCCAACTCACACATTGTTTATCCTGGAAGTTTTAGACTTCTGGCATAATCTTCTGTGCGTAACACATTGTACCCATTCTCTGAAGAATTTTCTCGTTCTGTATACTGATAAAGATCCCAAAGTCAAAAATGGGCCATTATCACCGATTGTCCTAACAGAGTTAATTTATTATCCCGCTTGTTCAGAGGCACAAAAAAAAGAAAGATTATGCTCAACCACCTGTTCCACTTTCGAAATGCATCTTTGGTGGTTGTTGGGTCCAAGGAAACAATATAAACAGAATGGTAGCTTAATACACCATCTTCCAGAGGCAAGGGAGTTAATGACTATAAAAGTTTGGCTGGACTAACGAGTCTATGCATAGTCCAATCAGAATCGCGTAACGATATCGACATCCGGTTCGTAAACTGCCGTCGACTGGGCGTCGACAGATATTTTCCATATCTTTTCATGTTTTTAATCAAGGTGCTCACGTGATTTGATGCACTTCCAGAAGTAAGACGAGTTATTTTACAATATAGATCTTGATTATCGACCAGATCGTCTTCACGGTGTGACGCCATTTTATTTGAAGCAAATGCAAGTGATATAAGAGGTAGAATCGGATCGGTCAATAGCAGGGACATAGAATGGACAAAACTCGTAATGGCCACTGGTGGTTCTTCGATCGAGCCCAAAAATTCCAGCCTGGTTCGGCAAGGGTGGAAACGGGACTTTTACAGTCAGTTAACTCCTTTTTCTCGGGAAGGTGATTATACACTGGATAATGCAGGATGTTTTTCCAGCTCTATACAAATATTTACCAACAGTACCTTAAGACATATCCATGGCTTAGTAATATATGTGTTTATATGTCTAATGATCCTCGTGACTTAATTTGCGTCCCAGGTATTTCCCAGAGAGCATTCGATGGCAGTTATCACGTGGCCGTGTCTATGAGGCGGAGAAGACAATTGTCCGGATTGTTAAGATGAACCGGATTAAAATGCCGGACCTAAGCCAATTGCATTGTTTAGCCGAACGAGAGAAGACAGTTCTCGCCTTTCAAAAGAACTATACATTCGTTCACCTGTATTCCTCGCTGTGGAGGGTGAAAAAAACGGCTGTATTTCAAGCAATGTGGTATGATTTTACGAAACTTTATACCTTTTATCTAAAATGGGGATCTTGTATTGCGCTCATGTATTCATAGAGCATCAAGTGTACGTGAATATTAAATTTTCTCTCACAAAAACCTTTATACCAAACTTCAGTTTGAATACGACGCCGTAAACAGTAGTTGTTTAAACATATTATTCATGTGCGAAATAAATATTGTGGAAAGTTACTGATAGGAGAAACGGATATGACGTCACTTCTCAAACGGAAGTTATGTAGCACATGGGCATACAAAGGGTATTTTTTTATGGAATGGACATACAGTACACTGGGTAATCGAGGGTGCAACTACTACAGACCACGTGATCTCTACAACCACAATAAACCCCAAGACATCCTAATAGGCATATGTAATTTGTAATAGATTGATGAATCCTTACATTGTAACATCTCTTGGCCTATTTGACTACAGGTGTATATCTAGTATCGTGTATTACGGGTTGTCCTTCGGAGCTCGGAACTTGGTCGGAAACATCTACCTCAACATTTCCCTGTCGGGTCTCGCAGAGTTGCCAAGAATCCCAGTGATAATATTTCTAAATGACAGGTACGTTCACCCTTTCATCGCACCCATCTTTCCGAAGCAATCAATTAATCATATAGTTCGTTATATCAGAAATTATTTATTGATAGACACGTTTAATCTGGAAATCCCACCATCCGGACGAGTGCTACTGAGAACGCCTATATGTATACATAGTGAAATTGTCCCCTTACCACGATTCGTTAATCCGGAAATGTGATTATCCGAACTCACTGGGAACACTACTGTACCAGATTAAAAAAAAAAAAATACTGTACCAGATTAGCGTTTATCCTGACAATGCCGACCCAGTAAATTCGTCCGGATTAACACATTCGGAGGAGCCCGGAGGGGTCCTGGATTCTCTAGTATCGCTAGTTCACGTGACTATCTGGAGGCAGTCAGATACTATCAGTTTATCAACTCCTGGCAGGGAAAGTATAAACTTGAAAATTGGAACATCGTTACTAGGCTGTAAACAGTCGCCGAAACACTGTAAACTCAAGGTCCAAAATAATAACTATGATACCCGTATCAAATACATCACCATCGAATAACCATTTCTTCTTTGGTTCATTTTAGCCACCATTAAACATGGGTGTATACTTTCTTTTGTCCCGCAGTATATATCCGAAATTCGCTTTACGTTTCTAATGAAACTACGTTCACACATGATTGGAGAATCCAGCCCGGTTCGGAGTGACGCGTGAATGCTGTAACCACAGGGCGCTACCCCAACCTCCTTACAAATATATGGATGCATGTAAACAGGAATGTATGGCAGTGGGATCGTTCAATCAATTTCATATTTATACGTCGCTTTTCAACGTATAACATCGTCTTAGGATTATCTCGTTTGCCAGTGTTGTCCTATTACACTGTTCCACTGTCTCACACCGTTCCTACGTTTGGAGTCGAACAGGGATCTTCGGTGTGAATAGCTGTAGCCACTAGACTATTCCACCTCCCATTTTGAGTTGTGAATATGTATGCACTATATACATAGTCGGTTTTTTTTCAGTATTGTTTATCACCGTTTAAAGTTGTTTGTCATGTAAGTTAAATGCATCCAAGTAATATCTGCGTGAAGATCCGGGGTAGAATAGGTCTTCAGCAACCCATGCTTGCTGTAAAGGGCGACTATGCTTATCGTAAGAGGCGACTAAAGGGATCGGGTTGTCAGCCTCGCTGGCTTGGTTGATGCATGTCATCGATTCCAAATGCGTGGACTGATGCTCATGATATCAATCACTGGAGTGTCTGATCCAGACTCGATTTTTTACAGACCGCCGTCATATAGCTGGAGTATTGCTGAGTGCGGCGTAAAACAACAAACCAAAAAGTTAATCTGCTGATTTCACTTGGAATACGTTCTCGTCCAGATTAACGAGATTTCACTGTATTTGATGACATTGTTAATTGCAGGATCGGGCGCCGATGGACGTGCTTCTGTTTCTACCTGCTGTGTGCCCTGGCTTGTTTCGTCGTGGCCGTGTGCGCCGCCGAGGGTTAGTGAGGGAGTTACTTGAGTTTAACGCCAAGCACCAAACATTACGCAATCCTCATTCCACGTAGACCAGATGATTGTCACTTGGAACATCCTTAAAAATGTATATTGTGAGCCTTCAGCGAACCTTCATACTCCAATGAACTAATACAAAGTGAAAGTCTGTTCTTAGATATAAGATAGCTACTCGATAAATGACTAAGAACAATGAAGAACGTAGAGTGGTTTATTTCACGATAAGCATTGTTCTATCGTCGTTTCTAGAGGTTTGTACATGCGCTCCCAACTTGATGACGTCGTAAATTGGACGACGTGATGTTTGAGAAGGAAGTTGTTCCCCATAGATGTAGCTGGGCAACGTAGATAAACGCAATGGCCGAACGGTCGCTTCCAAATGTGGGAGAGATATGACAATCGGTATTGGGAGACAAGTTTACAGATAATTAACGAGTAGATTGTGAGAATATGCGGGAAAGGACAAATATAACCCCCTGTTCATAAAATGGACTTGTCCGATATTTTCGCGCCCGGATTCGGATTCGATTGCGGAAGTCATCATTATTTAAATACGGGTAAATATTTTTCAAAGCGTGTACTTTTTACTGACATACTTAAAGAGGTTGTATTGGACACGGGTGGCCCAGTCGTCTAAGGCGCCGCGATTCGCTGTGCAGAGTTGCTTCCCTAAGCGCGCCAGAAACCTATGATTGTGGGTTCGAATCCCGGTTCGCACCGATTATGTTTCTAGGTTTGTCAGCACCATACCCGTGCTCGTGGGTTTCACCGAAGTGGTAAACGTCTGAGAGCTGCATCATTTCGGGCTTTCCTCCCATATTAACATTATTGTGATATTAGGGGAATACTGTAAAAAGCGGCGTTAAACCCAACTCACTCACTTACTAAAGAGCTTGTACGTAATGTTGATATCTCATATAAGAAATAAACGACTACAGGGAGAATAAACCGCTCGGAGCTGCGCCCCTCATTATTTATTCTCCCTGCAGTGTTCTATTGTACTATAAACAACTCCCACTCGTCGTTTATTTTTTACATATGGCATTGCAATGATCTATGGACCTTCATATTTAGGTTATCCCGCAAGTGTCTTTTGGGATGGTAAATATCCTGTATTAGGAATACACATTGTGTAGCGAGCCATGGGCTTTTCCATATAATGGTATCGTATAAACTGGGTATCACATCCGATTTGAGTTCATGAATATGCAGCAAAAGCCTGGCGGCTGTACAGATTAACACAGATTACCACTACACGTCATCAACAGTCTATACGTTTTGTTCATGTTTAATTGATGCTGTCACGTTGTTTTGCGATACGGTATGTCTATGGTATGCCACTCTGGCACCGGGTACATGAAAGCAAACATCAAGGTCCACACATGACAGTCCCGTAGCAATGAAAACTCAATTTGAATTTGTAATACTGATGACAAGCGCATTTAAAATAACTTCATTTGTGTGATATAACGGCTAGTTTTATCGATAAACCAATCTTAATACATGTACATATTTGACGGTAGGAATATTTTACATTTTTTATGATGCACATATTACATAAATCTCTTTAGAACATTTGTATTAAAGTCAGATGTTTGATTCCGATACTTTACCTCTTTGTGGCATAGACCAATATCAAAGCTTTGATAACGACTGTCAAAGGTCCATAAATCCTAAACCGTGGAGAGTGTTGAAACACTCGCACCGTGTGACTTGTGCGCACTAAGCCACTGATAGATTGTACGTATGCTTCAAACAATTGTTAATCTCCAATTCAGAGTTCATGTTAGTCTGTCTTACAGACCCTGATACAAATATATCAATGCAGCCCATGCAAGGCTATAATGTTTGGCGAGTCTAGATTTCTGCAGTATCTGAAAATGAAGAGAGTCTCTAGGCTCCTTTTTATTAATTTTTTTAAAGATAATTTAACAACTGTATTTTCTGTACGATATGTTCATTTCAGAGACTAGATATTAGTCTAAGTTCATGTGATACCTGTTTCATCCTCTTTCTGTCTCGTTGTCGTGTGTCGTGGACGAAAACGTTAGGTATGTCTCCATCTCCTCTCAAGGAAAATTGTAGGTAATGTTTACGCAACAGGGCCTATCAACAGACCAATACAGACCCAAACGCGCATTTGTTCGGAGTGAGTAAGTGAGTTTGGTTTAGGGCTCCTTTGAAAGGCATTTCGGTTATATCACGGCGTGTCAGCTTAATATGGGAGGAAAGCCCGACGTGATGCAGGTCTCAGACGTTTACCACTTCTGTGAAACCTGCGGGCACGGGTATGGTGTTGGATGTTCTTTATTCATGAAGGATGTTCATACAGGTGGTCAGGCAGCATATAATATATATATAAATAAAAGTAATCAGGCAACATGGATCTTTCGGAAGCAGCTTGCATAATATACACATGGAATTTAGTTAGGCAACACCCGTATATTCTCAGACTGAGCAGCTTTAATGAACTAGTGCATGAAATGTGTAAAAGATTTCCATACCAAATAAATTATTTAGTGAAAAGAAAGGGTTGAGGAGGAACATAGCCAAGATTACCATGGAATAATGTGGTTGTTTTTGGTGATGTTACAGATTTGGACTTTTGACTTAATTTCATCCAAAAATATTACGAACGTCACTTTTGTTGCACATACTTAATTGTCGGTACCATACAGACTTCTGGTTCACGGAATTGAAGAACAATGTCCTGCAAGTCCAAATATTGACTTTTCATCAGTATCTTGTGTAACCCCCCTGAACCCGAACAACTGCTTCAAGACGCCTCCTCATTCTTTGGATCAATCTCTGGTATCATTTGATTCTGAGGAATTCTGTCCCATTCTGTCCCATTTTAGGCCGTCGTGTTCGACAAAGAGACCCACCTGTCCATACGCTCAATGAACTGACTGCTGCTTTGCATGAGAAATGAGACAGAAACATAACGCAATGCTGGGAGATGATGTATAAAACATTAGCGTAGCCATACATGAAGTCAGTATCGTCAATGTGACAAATTAGTAAAAATATCAAGATCACATTTCTGTCCATAACTAATATGGACTCTCAGTGATAATTTTGAATTCTTGTAAATTTTTATTTTTGTTTTAAAAAATCCAAACATCAGTGCTCTATAACTGTTGAAAGAAAGGAGGGGTGGTGGGGTAGCCTATAGTGGTTAAAGCGTTCGCTCGTCACGCCGAAGGCCCGGGTTCGATTGGGTACAATGTTTGAAGTTCATTTCTGGTGTCCCCCGCCTTGATATTGTTCCGTAAACCTACCCTCACTCACTCATAAAAGTGCTTTTATGTGTTTCAATGTGCTTTTATCGTCTTGGCAGTGGTGATATTGCAGTTGCATTTCTACTTAGGACTAAACCTTCATTCATTTATTCTTCCCTTCACTGTTGTGGGGTTTGGCGTGGAAACAATGTATGTAAACAAACATCAACATGGCCTCGATCGTGACCCTGATTCGAACAGTTTGCGAATCTGAGTGAATGAGTGAGTATGGTTTTACACCGCCTTTCGCAATATTCAAGCAATATCACGGCGGGGGACACCAGAAATTGGCTTCACACATTGTACCCATGTGGGGAATCGAACCCGGGCCTTCAGCGTGAAGAGTGAACGCTTTAACCACTAGGCTACCCCACCGCCCCTCGCGAAAGTGAGAGGATTAAAGGGACGGTTTGAAAGTTGACTGTCGTTCCAATGATTGACTCATATCTCGTCATTCCGACGACCAGCGGATGACCACAACAGTCCTGACACAGCTGTAGGTTTATCATACAGTGGTATTTTCAGGGGGTTATTAATTAAACAGCTATCAACACATATGTAGACTTTTATTCAGACATATACAGCCTCTATCGCGACCGTGACGCAAGCAGGTTACGACAGAATGGACGGTCTATAACTTGACTGATATATTCAAAGCAGATTCATGTTTCGTAATAAAAATCAGAAGGTTGACTCCTTCAATCCGAAAAGATGTTTATCACGTTTTTTTATTCTGTAAAGGTGTAGATGGTTTGGCGAATATCAACTTTGCAATGGTCTTGACTGCCAAGATGGCGATCACAGCTGGTTGGGCAGCCCTGAAGGTCTACACTGCTGAACATTACCCGACTGTCATTAGGTAAGATGTTCAGTATCATGTTGTGTTGATGTCACTGTTGATGACGCCATGCTACATCGGGCATCGGTATCCTCAGTAGGATGGTTCTCCGATCTCCTTGCGAACATCAAGAGACGGAGCCAAGCTTATGTCCTCACGGGCATTAGTTTCCCTTGAGTAGAATAGGTCCTCAGTATATCATGTTTGTTGCGCGATCTGTGGGCTAATGGACACCGGGTCCTAATCAGGGGCGGTGGGGTAGCTCAGTGGTTAAAGCATTCGCTCGTCACGCCGAAGACCATTTCTCGTGTGCCCCGCCGTGATATTGCTAGGATAGTGTTAAAAACGTCGTAAAACTCACTCACTTACAAATCAAGCATGGCACTTTGGTTTCTATGGAAACATATAAGTGCCACAGTCTCACAGTGCTTTATCATCTACGTAGATAATACTTTTATTTACGTAGATAATACTACTCACAAATACGTAGAAAATAATTTCATCTACCTACATAATATATTAATCGACGCAAAAGTAAGTATCATCTACTGTCACATTTTCGACTTAGGTAATAATATTTTCTTCTTTTCAATGTGTCGAAGTTTGAGAATGACACTCGTAATAACCGTAATAAAGAGAGGAGAGCGCAAAATGTTCTCCAAACTACAAAAGAAACAGACCCGTGAAGATCCGGGGTAGAATAGGTCTTCAGTAACCCAGGCTTGCCGTAAAAGGCGACTATGCTTGTCGTAGGAGGCGACTAAAGGGATCGGGGGGTCAGGCTTGCTGACTTGGTTGATGCATATCATCGATCCCAATTGTGTAGATCGATGCTCATGATGTCAATCACTGGATTGTCTGGTCCAGACTCGATTATCTATAGACCGCCGTCATATAGCCGGAATATTGCTGAGTGCGGCGTTAAAGAACAAACAAACAACAACAAAAACAAACTATAAGTCATTATTCAAACTTTTAGCGAAATTATCCATCAACCATTACATGGTTAAAGTCGGATAAAAAATCACTCTAATATGTTGATTCTCATGATTTCTCCATTACGGAAATTAGGTTTTAGTGAGTGAGTATGATTTTACGCCGCTTTTAGCAATATTCCAGCAACATCACGTCCGGATGAGATTTAAGAGGTGAAACGTGAATATGAAGTTGAGAATCACTTAAACTATAAAAAGTACATCAAATGACTGCTCCCTCGCCTTTTTTGGTCCCGCTCGCCTCGGTTCCACAACTTTCATGTCTTCGGGTTTCAGTTCAAACTAGCATTTTTCCAACTGGGTCTTCCCGTTCTCAGGGAACTAATGTTCGAATCTGGCGGTAACTGACTATGTCATTTGAAACAGCCGCCTTCTCCCGGACATATTTGTTCCGGCTCGTCATGTACAGTTCTTCGCGCCTCTTGTCTTGATTGACAGGTCCAATGAACTTTGTTTTAATCCTACTCTCCGTTGATTGGCCACTGACTTTTTGGGCGTGTAAAGTTATGTGCATAAATTAAACAATCACCTGATTCATGTCACGCCACAGCATGTATTCCTACACCTGGAATGTTTATCAATCTCTTAAACTTTAGTTTGCACATCGATTTTTCGATTCATACCTCAATGAACCGAAAGAAATACACAGTCAATCCTTAATTGTCACTGTCTGAGTCACGATACGTACTATCATAATATCACATACGGAGATGAAAATATCTTCTGAGTAGATTAAAGTATCAAAGATGGCACTTATTTTCCTAATTTCAGGCTTTTTTACATGATACTCATGATAACCTGTTTTCCTTTTTGCGAATATTTAGATAAAGATTCATTCGATGTACTAGCCTACCGTTTATCTCAGTGTCAGTTTGAAACAATTTGTCGATAAAGATAAAAAACAACAACCTACACTTACTGTCTTTTTTCAGAACTCTTGGATTAGGAGCGTGCAACATTGCAGCCGGCATTGGAAGCATCATTGCACCTTATTTGGTCTTAATGGTGAGACTTCATTGGGGTTGTAGGGCAACATCCCGTTCCACAAAGCGATGTTAGCGCTAAGACGATCGTAACCCCCGAACGTTATCGCAGACATGCAACAGTCTTAGCCGTACGATGACTGTGTGGAACAGGCGCTAGGTCCCTGGTCTCCCAGTTCCCCTGCTGCTAGAGCCGAGACAAATGGCGATCGGGTGGTTGCAATGTCTGCCTCGCCGTACCCTGTCGGTGTGGATGATATGAACCACTTGTTTGATTCAATTATCTACCGGTGCCCGGTGATATAGCGGGAATAGTTATGGCTGTAACGTAACTCAGTTAAGTTGAATCGTTAACTCGAAGTCTTGGGCATAAAGGACATTGTGTCGAGTTACCCGTATGTCGAGACAAGCAGTACTGATAAAGGCTTGGAGCATAATGTTACATGGTGTTAAGCGATAGAGCAAGCAATCGCATGGAAATCATATCTTTTATTCCGATACGATACTCTCTGCGTGAAGATCTGAGCATACCTCCATTGTAGGAGGTTGATTCGGGTGAACACAAAGCGAAATTTGACCGCCCAATCAAAAAGAGGGCTGCGTTGGTTCTTGAGCCAATCAGCTGTCAGCTTTCTAAAACGATTCGCCTTCATTTGATAATTTCTATTTGGCCTCAGACCACAGTTACCCCACTGAACCGGAAGGAAAATAGGAGAATATAGTGCCCTGTTAACATGGGCTGTTCAGTCTGTGCCAATTTATTTGGAGTGACTTGTGATAGCTTAAATGAAAGATTAGACATTGTACTTTGTTGCATTTTTTTTAGTCACAATTCCAGCTTTCCATGACTTGACCCCAAGTTGAAGGCCGCTGTGTGTATTTTTGGCTCGAAACATCCGGTGAGAATTGTTGACAGTGGTTACTGCGAAATGGTAGTGGATCCAGGCCGATACTTTGCGGTTTAAGTGACAAGTGGCAGGTTGGTCAGCATGCAACAGAAGAACAGCCTACGGCCGATATTAATTATGGTGGGCTGTCATGTCACTGTAGATAGCAAAGAAGGAAAATAATTTGGTCTGAGGCCAAAAAACTACACAGAACACAATTATTCCATCGATGGTACTCCCTTTTTATGGTAAATTTTTGCCAAAGCCTTCGGAAACGACAGGATATACAAGATAATGGCGCCGCGAGGCACTACTTTCGGAACTTGCCGTTTGGAATTTAAAAGCATCGACGCTCTTTGGCTGATTAGAAGGTTCACCCGAAGCCACATCTTTTGGAGCTGTGCTCTGAATTTTACGCAGAGAGATATCATATCGGAGTAAAAGATGTTATTTTAATGAGATTGAATTAGTGACAACAGAGACAGAAATGAAGTTGTTGGGGGCCAGTGGAGCCAGTGGAGCCAGTTAAGCTGTTCATAATACTAGAGCTCGAATACACTGTATGCTCGAATATGATGTGGCAGTATGAGTCATTATTCACTCTATTCTTTATTTTTTCAACAGACCGAACAAAACCTTGTGGTGCCTTACATTGTCATTGGGATCCTAGTTGTCGCCAACGCCGGACTGCCGTTCCTGTTGAAGGAGACGGTCAATCAGCCTCTTGAGGACACATTCATCGAGGACCATCTGACCACTGACAGAAGTGGTCTTTCAGCCAGCAGTCAAACAGAGCCTGCAGAGAGTATTTAAAGATTTACTGATTTGACATTCTGGCGTATCTGTCTGACCTGTGTCTGGCTTGGTTTGGCGGCATAACAACGGTTGAAGAACATGGCCCCTACGAGAATGTTCCCGCTTGGATCTGCCTGTCAGGGGTTCAAATCTTATATTCTCACTAATTATGATCCTTTTGAAAGCACCATTCCCGGAGTGGTTTGTTTGTTCGAAGTGGTAAGCTTCACCTCGGGCATTCCTCCAACATCAAGCTGGCCGCCCTGAAATAGCTGAAATATTGTTGACAGTGGCATTAAACTCAACTTACACTTGATGTTAGGGGTAATTACAACAACAATATAGAAAAAGTTGCTAAAAATATCCGAAGAATCTGTCGCCTGGGGTGATGCCTAAGTAGTTCACATATGCTGTTTTAAAGGAAGCCATCGACCGATAACCAAAGACTGGAAGACCTGATGTAATGGACACCTTAAATACATTTGGGATAAAACAACACTTGGATTACTTCGATATTCAAGTTCATTTCAAGTTGATTACTCAAGAGATATCCATCAATGTTGTATTATTTCGTGTGTTGGTTGGGGTACGGTGGCCCAGTTATCGGAGGCGTTACATTCAGCTGCGATGTTGAGGCTGCCAGAAACCCCCGATCGTGAGTTCGAATCCCAGTTTGCTATGATTATTTTTCTAGGTTTGACATCCCCTTACCCGTGCTTGCGGCTTTCATCACAGTGGTAAACGTCTTAGATCTGAATCGCGTCCTCCTTTCCTCCCACATCAAGTTGACAAGCCATTAAATTATCGGAATATAGTTCAAAGCGACATTAAACCAAACAGTCAACATTTGATTGACATATCAGAGGTCCGGTAAGGTAATAAGATATTTATACGGGTGACCATTAGTTTATTTGCGCTGCTGCAAGCGCCTTTATCAAGCCTGTAGGCATAAAATGTCCTTTGATTGCTGAGCCTGCCTCCGCATAGGAAACCCGAAAACACAAAAACAATGTGATAATGCCTTAGCATCAAACATTTGACAAATAAATTCAGACATAGTACTCTATGATACTCAGAATGCAATAAGACTGATATATGTTTCAATGATGTTACCGTTTTCTCCCTGAAGTAACAATACTGACACAACAAACCATTTCTGAAAGTATCGACTTGATGCAATGATGAACAATAGTGTAATAGTGTGTAATGGTTAGACAGCCCTACATTATGTTGAAACAGACCATAGTGCCTGAGTGAGTGAGTGAGTATGGTTTTACGCCGCTTTTAGCAATATTCCAGCAATATCACGGCGGGGGACACCAGAAATGGGCTTCACACATTGTACCCATGTCGGGAATCGAACCCGGGTCTTTGGCGTGACGAGCGAACGCTTTAACCACTAGGCTACCCGACCGCCCCCCATAGTGCCTGAAGCTACCCGAGACCCGGTGTGGCTACACTATAAATATGAGGTGGAATGTAACCAAAGGTAGACAGTGTGCATGGGCAAAACTGGGCCAGGCAATAACAACCGAAATGCGAACTTAGTTTGTGCGGAAACGGAATGTTTAGATATAGATTGCATTGGCTTACATGTTTAATGATCAACATTAAACAGAATAAAAACTTATCTTTCTCTTTGCAAAGTGTGTGTGTCAAAGTTAAAAGAACTGTTGTGCGGTAGGGTGAGTGAGTGAGTGAGTTTTAACGCCGCTTTTAACAGTATTCCAGGTATGTCGCGGCGTGTCAGCTTAATGTGTGAGGAAAGCCCGAAGTGATGCAGGTCACGAGCACGGGTATGGTGCTGACAAACCTAGAAACATAATCGGGGCGAACCGGGATTCGAACCCACAATCATAGGTTTCTGGCGTGCCCAAGGGACGCAACTCTTATACAGCGAATCGCGGCGCCTTAGACGACTGGGCCACCCGTTTCCCCGTTGTGCGGTAGACCTCCGGCCAGTATACAATGGTAATGGTCATTTAACATTACTGGACATCACATATTTTAAACTTCCACATTCCTGAACAACATACAATGATGTATGTACAAGAATAGGTTGTGTTGAGTTTGTACAACAAGAAAGGTGAATAGTGACATGACATATTTTCTGTTACCATTGAGAAAGTAATGTTCCAGGATCAACCTATGTCTCAGCAGTCTATGTTTGGTACAGCTGCTATGGTCGCCAAGGGTGAACATGACTCGTGGGTTTGTGATCGGTTTTTATTCAGAAATGAAGAAATATAGAAATTCAGAAATGGCCCTGAAACAATTACAACAGTATAGTAACGGCAATAAATTATATCAATTATACATAAATATCACAAGTAGCTTATATAAAAAATGTGTGTTGATACTATGGCATCTCATGACAACACATGTAAATTGTCATACAAATGTATCCGTTAGTCAGTCATGATGACATAATGCTATCACGCCAAGGGAGGTAATTTCCCACATACTCACAATTAAAACAATATTTACACATATACCCAACATAGACATCATTCCACAAGTAACATGACGTACATTTAGATAAATATGTGGTTACCCTCAAAGTTTACACAAAAAGTGTACATAAAGATAAAATATTTAAACATGATAATAAGCCTTACCTACTTGTGGAATTGAGCCATGTAATAAGACGTGGTGACTCACGCTCCATGACCATAGATTGCCGTAATTCACAAACACCATCATACAACATTGTGACAATGCATTCACCATCACTCATGGTCTCCACTCACACAATTCAAACAAAACCATTTCATATAAATACACACAGCCAATTGAAAAAAGCTGACGTTTAATAATTGTATAAACTAATAAGAACAGAACAGAACAGAACTAATCTAATCTAATCAGAACAGTTATTGCAACTTCCTACACTACCAAATGAACTTTATCTCGGACTAATTGACCAACATTAGATACTTTAGATACTTAAATACCTGTTCCAACATTATCATATTTAACAAGTTACTAAATAACATTAATGTTTAAGAAACAACATATTTATTGAACATATAAAAGAACTAATTAACCTAAACATAATTTAGTGATTAAGAATTCAAATGACCTGTTTAATCCTGTTGCCGACTTCTTGTTGCCTCGTGTGCTGTGCTGTGATTGTGAGGTGAGGTGAAATGGGGTTTAACGTCGCGTCCAAGATTATTGCACTTATATAGCGACGTGCATGTACGTGTGTGTGTGTGTGTGTGTGTGTGTGTGTGTGTGTGTGTGTGTGGCTGCTTGTACTAGTCCGGACTGATGCCGATTTATAGTGCTAGCTCACTGAGATACCATGCCGCAGTTTAACATGAATACCCCACTCAGACACAGTATACTGACTCCGAGCCGACCAGTCCTTGTTTTAGCCCCTTAATGCCGAGCGCCAGACAGGGTAACAACAAGTACCATCTTTTAACGTCTTTTAACGGATTGAGCCCCGTACTTCCGCTCTCCGGGCGGACGCCCTACCACTAGACCACGGAGGCGGTCTGATTGTGAGGTAGTTAGATTGGTGCAAAGGGGGCGATCCTAGTTTTGAAATTAGCCAATGAGACTGGGGGCTAAGAATTTGGTGATAAACAAGTTTCATCCTGGTTCCGGGGCGGTCGGGTAGCCTAGTGGTTAAAGCGTTCGCTCGTCACGCCGAAGACCCGGGTTCGATTCCCGACATGGGTACAACGTGTGAAGCCCATTCCTGGTGTCCCCCGCCCTGATATTGCTGGAATATTGCTAAAAGCGGCGTAAAACCATACTCACTCACTCACTCACTCACTCATCCTGGTTCCAGAATGAGACAATACTCTTCAATATTTTGAACAACCTTTTTATGACTTATATATCATTTTTTATTCTTATTTTACCTTTAAATCACCATGTTATAAAACACCATGTTACATCCAATAATTGTAAAATAGAGATGTTCAAAGAAACCACATTAAGCCATTAAATACCATGAAAATGTCACTGCTACTTAATCATTACATATTGTTACGAGGTGATTTCCAAGTTGAAACGCAAAACCCAAGAAAACGGATCGTACAGAACTATATTGTGAAGTCAGTCAATGTATAATCAACTAAATACATTCAATCACACAGTTATAGGTTTTCAATAACAAATAAAAGAGACAACCCCCTTTCCATATTAATAAGAAATCTCAATTGTACGATCACGACTATGTCATGAGCATTTGGCCATACTGTGTTTGTTTGTTGTTTAACGCCGCACTCAGTAATATTCCAGCTATATGACGGCAGTCTATGAATATTCGAGTCTGGACCAGACAATCAAGTGATTGGCATCATGAGCATCGATCTACGTACGCATTTGGGATACGATGACATGCTTCAACAAAGTCAGCGAGCCTGACCACCCGATCCCGTTAGTCGCCTCTTACAACAAGATTAGTCACCGTCTACGTTTGTTTGTTTGTTGCTTTACGCCGCATTCAGCCGTTGACAGCAAGCATGGGTTGCTGAAGACCTATTCCACCCCGGATCTTCATGGGTCATGTGGCAAGACAATGGTTCAGTAAAATGGCAGCAGCAGAAAAGTAACGCATAAAGATAATAATAAAGTATAATGTGTAAATACATTCATGAAGGTTCAGAATTGGTCAGTGCCGAATGACTTGTGACGGGCCTGTCTCCGATCTTAAATCCGGACTAAAGTTGGAAGCATGTTTGTAAACAACCAGGGGCGAATTACTCTAAATTTCTCTGGATGCAACTGAGAACACTCGACATTTTGCTAGCTTTTTAATCATTTCCTGCCACCGACAATTACTAGAAATACATAAACCACAATCTATACTGCCACATAACACTTTCGATACAGGGGTCACGGGCGGCCCAGTCGTCTAAGGCGCCGCGATTCGCTGTGCAGAGTTGCGTCCCTTGGGCACGCCAGAAACCTATTATTGTGGGTTCGAATCCTGGTTCGCCCCGATTATGTTTCTAGGTTTGTCAGCACCATACCCGTGCTCGTGGGTTTCACCGAAGTGACGTCTGAGACCTGCATCACTTCGGGCTTTCCTCCCACTTTAAGCTGACACGCCGCGATATAACTGGAATAGTGTTAAAAGCGGCGTTAAACCCAACTCACTCACTCACTCACTTTCGATACAACTAGATTACAACTATCTATTCTGTACATAACAACACTGAAAGACACCGAAAGCCGCATTCTACCCAGTGACGACATGGGCAGGTTCTCAAGCATTAATCACCGGAAAACCTGCCAATATTCAAATTGAGATTTCAAAGCCCAAAACCGAAGTCTTGTAAATGAGTTGCGAAGTTTCCTGTTCGTACTATTTTTCTAAAACCAATTCGGGTTCTAGTAAAGATTTCATGGATCATAGGTATCATATCTTGTACTGCTTTGAAGCACATTATACCATTCCAGCTCAGATATCGTGAGGTGATCGGAGTTTCAGCTCAGACATACACACGGTGATCGGAGTTTCAGCTCAGACATCATGAGGTGATCGGAGTTTCAGCTCAGACATACACGAGTTAATCGGAGTTTCAGCTCGGACATCGTGAGATGAGGGGAGTTTCAGCTCAGACATACACACGGTGATCGGAGTTTCAGCTCGGACATCGTGAGGTGAGGAGAGTTTCAACTCAGACATACACACGGTGATCGGAGTTTCAGCTCGGACATCGTGAGGTGAGGGGAGTTTCAGCTCAGACATACACACGGTGATCGGAGTTTCAGCTCGGACATCGTGAGATGAGGGGAGTTTCAGCTCAGACATACACACGGTGATCGGAGTTTCAGCTCGGACATCGTGAGGTGAGGAGAGTTTCGGCTCAAACATCATGAGGTGAGCGGAATTTAAGCTCAACCTTGTTTTCTTGAAGCTGCACACCCTGTCTATTTACAAGCAGACTGGACTTAAGCAAGACGTACTATGACGTTGGACCTGTTTTACTGTTACATTATGATAACACGCAGGCATTAATATTTAAATTGCTCATTTAACGATGGAGACAGAGTTGACATGGATTTCAACTGTTATTCTTTCAAAGCGACGTGTCGGTACAGATCCAAGTATATATATATTTATCAAGCAAGTAATAAACTGAGTAGACCACAGTCATACAGCCAAAACTTACATAGGAAGGATGATTGATATGTTCTGAGCCTCACATAGAACGAATTGACCTAAAGATATAAAGGTTGTAGCCATGGCAAAGACTGATGTGTGCTCTGGCCCACTGTCCTA